GTCCCGGCTGGGGGACCCCGTCTTGCTGGCATCCCGGAAGCCCTGCTGATGCCGGAGGGGAGCCCAAGAGAGTGAGAGCGACGTAGGCCCCAGCTTGTGGGTTGGGAAAGAAGGAAAGAAGGTAAGGGGGGGGGAGACGGACTGGATGAATACATCAGCGATGCAGGCGGGCCTCCTTCCTTCCTTCCTTCCTTCCTTCCCTCCCTCCCGATCTTCTCACCAAAGCTAAGCAACCCTCCGGGCTCCCCAAGGCAAGGCAAGAAAAACAGCTGCTTAAAATGGGGTCCAAGGCCCAGGTGCCCGGGGGTACACCCACCCACCCCCTCCCGAAACCCCACAGGCTCCCCCTTGGGGCTGACTCACACTTGATGAGTTTCACCACTTCGAGATGGGAGCTGTGGGTCACCATGGTCCCGTTCACCTGCCACGAGCAGAGGAGGGAAGCAAAAAACCCCTTAGGCCGGGGGCGCCTCCTATCTTTGCTTGGGGACTTCACACTCATCAGGAGTTTTGTGTCACAAATATGTGGACAACATGCAATACTTTCTCTCCTTCCTACCCCTCTGCATTGGATGCTGTCTTGTTCCCTGAGCTTTGGGAACAACAGATGGAAGTTGAACCGAGAAAAAACGAAGGTCCTTTGGGTGGAAGCCCCTAGTATCACCATATTGTGTGACCCTCTCCTTTTTTTCCTGGACTTGCTCTCACTGCTAAGGATGGAGTGTGCAACTTGGCCATTATTCTGGACCCAGCACTGTCAGTGGACATCCAAGTAGTGTCTACGGTCTGACCCACTTACTGTCATCTTGGGTCCCTCACCTGTTGCTCCATGCAGTGGCAGTCTCAAGAATAGACTGCTGTAATGCTCTCTATGTAGGGCGTCCAATGAAGCTGATGCAGAAGCTTCAACAGGTCCAGAATATGGTGGCCGGGTTACTGAGCCGAGTTGGGAAAAACCAACACATTTCTCCAGCTCGGTCCACCTTACACTGGTCACCCATCTGCTTCCATGCCAGCTTCAAGGTGATGGTGCTAACATATACAGCCCTAAATGGTTTGGGACCTGATACCGGGTAGAATGCCTTCTGGTTAGACAGGCAGTGTGTCAATCAAATCAATCCATAAATAAAATAATTCTCCAAAAATTTTTCTACCACCTATAATAGCAGATTGGATTTCTCTAACTCAACAGGTTTGCACTTCTGTGTGTCTGGTGTCTGAAGTTCCAGGATGGAACTCCCTTTCAGGAGAAAGGCAGCCTATAAATAAAACAAATGAAAAAGATGCTTCCCAGACAAAAAGGGAGAAGGGGAAACAACAAAGCATGCTCAATTCACCTCATAATATTTCATCACACAGTTTTCATCTTTCTACCACAGAAGATAGGGAAGCTTTCCCTTTTCTCCTGTATTCTAAAGTTAAATTAAAGGAAATATGTTTAATACGAAAATAGGATTAAATTAGTTGTATTAGCTCAAGATGGCAAACCTCTTTTTTAAACCATGCAGTTAAAATAATTGTGGGGGAATGCTTGCTAAGCTGAGAACGCTCTCCTGAATGATGTCACTGCTCAATCTGTCTGGGGTCTCAAGACACGGGGTCCCCAATTAAAAAACCCTGGATCTCTCCTCTCTCTCTCTCTGGGTGTGTGTGTAAGTGTGTGTAAGCGTGTGTAAGCGTGTGTAAGCATGTGTAAGCGTGTGTGTGTGTGTGTGTGTGAGAAAGAGA